TTCAGACCTGCTCCAGGTCAGCTTTTTGTGCCCTGTCCCTATGGCCTTCAGACCTGCTCCAGGTCAGCTTTTTGTGCCCTGTGCCTATGGCTTTCAGACCTGTCCTAGGTCAGCTTTTTGTGTCCTGTCCCTATGGCCTTCAGACCTGCTCCAGGTCAGCTTTTTGTGCCCTGTGCCTATGGCTTTCAGACCTGTCCTAGGTCAGCTTTTTGTGTCCTGTCCCTATGGCCTTCAGACCTGCTCCAGGTCAGCTTTTTGTGCCCTGTGCCTATGGCTTTCAGACCTGTCCTAGGTCAGCTTTTTGTGTCCTGTCCCTATGGCCTTCAGACCTGCTCCAGGTCAGCTTTTTGTGCCCTGTCCCTATGGCCTTCAGACCTGCCCCAGGTCAGCTTTTTGTGCCCTGTCCCTATGGCCTTCAGACCTACTCCAGGTCAGCTTTTTGTGCCCTGTCCCTATGGCCTTCAGACCTGCCCCAGGTCAGCTTTCTGTGCCCTGTGCCTATGGCTTTCAGACCTGCCTCAGATCAGCTTTCTGTGCCCTGTCCCTGTGGCCTTCAGACTTGCCCCAGGCCTTTGCACTTGCTCTGTCTGCAGAGGCTGGCTTCTCCAGGCTGGGCTGCCTCACCTATAGCAGCTTTGACCACCCTACAAGAGATAGCCCGTCCCAAGAATGCTTTCCTAACAATGCCACCCACCTTGCTTCCTGTACAGTCCTCCCTCTGTGGGGCAGAGTTTGATTTGTATCTTTTTTTCTTCTCTCAACACCCCAGTGCTGAGAACAAAGCTCTGTAAAGTTGTCTAGGACTTGCTGAATGAATAAATTTGACTTTGACTTGTAATTAGGGATAATTTTGGGAATCTTCCAGCAAGGCTTCCCACTCACCTCCTTCTCATCCTCAGGACTGGGCTGGTTAATGGTTTGGAAAATGTCTCTCCCTCTGACTCAAGGATAACTTTACACAGTACACACTCTTCTCGTGGCATGGCTTTTAAAGCCAAGGATATCAAACACTGGGAGGGGGGGCAGTTGCAGCTGCAATACAACTGCATGCTGAAATAGTTCAAGGCCTTTGTACAGATCTTAGGAGATTGCCAGATAGACCACACTGGCACCTAAAGCATCCACGAGAAAGAGGACAAAAATCTAGCTTCCACATTTGAAACTGAACCTGCCCGCCCCAGTCGCTAGCCAAATCCAGACAAGATCGCGCACTCCACTGGGAGGGACAGAGTGCTCCAGGGCTGGTTGTCTGATCACTGGCTCTTCTGAAGCTGGGTCAAGGGCTGCACAGCTTCAACCACTACCAAGATATCCAGGAGGTAACAGTGTCTGGTGCCCGTTGTGTAACAGAAACGGGATCACGTCATGGGCAGACACAGTGACTGTGGAGACATTCCCTAACGACCAGGAAAGCTAGAGGGCAGGCTGCCCTCTCCTTGGGGGTCTTGGGGATCATCAGTCATCAACAACTGCCACTTGGCTCAGATATCAAGTTTTCCAATGTTTGGTTGATGGAAAGGCATCAGGGCAGCTTCCCCTACAGAGCCTTTGCCCAGCTTTCCTCCCTTAGGGTCTGTCAGGACCTGCTCCGGGGAGACAGGCCATACCTGCAGGGCTGGGGCTGGACACAGCTTCTGGAGCCGGTACATCAGTGCAGAGGGCCTGGCGGTTCTGTAACAGATGAGCATCAGGCCACTGCCAACAACAACTCCAGCTAAATAGATGCTAAGGGAAATTTCATTCTTGCCCCGAGTCAATATGAAGCACCTTATTCAATTAACATGGCCACTAAGCCTCGGACAGCCCTGTACAAAAGCCCTTCAGTTACACATGACATTTTATTACGTGACACTAGTTGCCAGAACAATTTATTTTCTTTCATTCTGCCTTTTTCTTGCGAATTTAAATCTGTATTTTCTAGTGTTGATTCCAGGTCTGCGTGAATGTTTTAAATGCAGCCATCAATCTTTTGGACCCTGTGGTCACAGGGAAGGGAGATGACTCTGCTGTGTGGCAGCAGACCCAGCTGTCTCTTCAGACTGTGGAGGACAGTAGCGAGGGGGCTGTGGCTAACCTGCAGCTGGAGATGGCTGTTGTTTTTGAGTTGTGTTCCCTGTACACACACGTTCGGGTTTCTTCGTTCTATTCTCCCAGGGCTGAAAGTCACCTTCTGAAGCACCAGATTCACTGTGTGCTTCAGAGACCTAGGGGTTCCTGAGACTTTGAGTGGGATGTCAGGTTACAACACTTCCACAATAGTCAGATATTTGATTTTCCTTAAATGGGATATTAAAAAGCATAAACTAAGCCATGTGTGTAGCTTATACATATAATCCTAGCATGCAGAAGGCTGAGGCAGGAGGATCACTGAGCTGCAGGCCAGCCTGGGTTATATAATCAATTCCAGGCCAGTGTCATAAACAAAGCAAGAAGACAAAAGTGCTCTGTCTCTCTTTCTCTCTCTCTTTCTTCTCCCCTCCCTCCCTTACTCCCTCCCCCCCCTCTCTTGATGTGTGTGTATGTACATCACAAACTACACACAGGCCTGGGCAGCTGGCTCAGTGGTTAACAGCACAGTAAGCTTTGCAGGGGATCTGAGTGTTGTTCCCAGTATCTGTAACTCTGGCTCCAAGGGCCCACAACACCCTCTTCTGGACTCTACAAGGCAACTGCACTCACATGTACATACCACACACAGAAGTACTTACACACATTATTACAAAAATAGTAAAAATAAATATTTTTTAA